AAAAAACTCACAATTTTTTCTTAAATAATTTATTCTCTTCTCTAGTAGGAGTACACAACCTATCCACATTAGTAAAATGTTCATTAATTTCCATATCATCGTTTACTTCTATAGCTAATTCTGAAGGTTTTCTTCTATTCCATAATTCATTAATTTTTGATCTACCCGCTTGCCAATGTTTTGCCATTTCGTTTGCTTTTGCCTTTAAATTAATAAAAAAAAATTTTTGGATGTTCCCTTCACACTACCCATAGTGCGAAAGGAACATAAATAAATTTTTCAAAAATTTTTTATTTCTTGGATGTTCCCTTCACACACCCATAGAGTGTAAGGAACATAAATGAATTTTTCGAAAATTTTTTTATTTTTCGTATGTTCTCTTCACACTACCCATAGGGTGTAAGGAACATGGTGAGGCCAAGAAAATGATAGAATAAGCCCAGCAAATAATTCAGAAGGTTTCACAGGCCTGCCCGATGGCTAAACTCTTACTTGAACAAATAATTAAATAAAAAAATCAAAACAAACATGCAATCTTTCCCTTTTAGATTTCACATTTTCTGGTTTTTTACAACTTGTAATTGAACTTGTATCGTCTACACAAACATCCAAACTTGATTTACAATTTGTATTGTCTTCATTGTTTTGAACAACATTTTGCATAATTGTTGATGTTTTTCTTGAATTATTTGTTGTTGTTGGAGTTTGTGACAAACTTGATTCGGATCTTGAACGTCTCAATGTTTTTTTCTTCTTTTTAATACTAGAAAGACGAAAACTTCCTTCATTTCTTTCAAGTTTTCCTCCAACTTGTTTTGCAACTTGTTTTTCATCACTTTCTCCTTGTTTTTCTTCATTTTTATTTACAACTTGTTTTCCAACTTTTTCTCCAACTTGTTTCTCATTTTTATCTCCAACTTGTTTCCCAACTTGTTTTTCAGTATTTTCTCCAACTTTCTCCTCAACATTTTTTACAACTTGTTTTTCAACTTTTTCTCCAACTTGTTTCCCAACATTTTTTACAATTTTTTCCCCAACTTGTTTTACAACTTGTTCTTCAACTTTCTTCCCAACATTTTCTCCAACTTGTTCCCCTATTTTATTTCCCACTTGTTTCCCAACAATTTCCCCAACTTGTTTTGCATGTTGTTTTGCAACTTGTTTTACAATTTGTTTATCTTGTTCTTCACACTTCTCTTCCTTGTTTGAATTAATGTTGGGACTAGAATAATCAACTGACCCCCTTTTTGTTTGTGAAGAAAGTAAAAGGAGTTCAATAGAGTCCGAAGCAGATTTAAATAAACATTCTGAAAAAATAAATTTTTTAATTTTAATTTAATTCCTTCTCACTTCCAATATTTTTTTCTTCCTCCTTTTCTTCTTCATTAAATTCAGGCAAATCCTCAGCTCTAAATTCTATAGGTTGTGCCCCAAGTAAAATAAAATCATCAACAGATTTTGAAGGTTTTTGTAATGAAGATGAACAATTATTATTATTTTTCTTCTCTTCCAATTTTCTTTCCACTAAAATTAATAAATCGCTACATGTCCCAGATAATAATCGAATAGCTTGTCTTTCACTTCGAACAGCTATATTGTTTACAGCAATTAAAATATCCCCAACTTTAAAACCGCTTTTTTCTGCGTTAGAATTGGTTTCCACTTTTTCGACAGAAATGTCTTTTCCATTCTGAAAAAAAATAATTAAATTAATATTTTATTTTTTAATACAATAAAAACAAGTTTTTACAAATTAGAGATAGAAACTCGTTGCTACAGCGTGACTTGAGTTTTATTAAGTTGTAAAAACTTTATTCTCAAACACGTTTTCCAACATGTTTTACAACTTATTTGTAAACTTGTTTATACAACTTGGCTTTAAATTGTAAAAACTTGTTTTTCAACACCCTTTTTTACAAGGTGTTTTACAAATGTGAAATTAAAACTTTAAAATCCTCCTAAAAATAAAGACAGCTCCTTTATATCCTCAAAACGTTTAATTAAATTTACAAACCTTCATTCCCAACGTCAAACCAATTTTATCATTAATTCCCTTCCGTGAAAAAGACAACATTAAACTTTGTAAATGTAATTCTTCATTTGAGGATATTTGATTAGTTGAAGTTCCTTTAAGTTTGTTAAATGAAGAGCAACCAAAAGGGCGTTTTTCTAAACAAAAAAAAATTTTTTTTGAGAATTTTGGAAGGTCGTGAACACGATAACGACTGAAAAATTTTTTTATTTCCTTTAATTTTCTCTCAAAATGTTTTTCAAGTTAAGTTCCTATTCGAAATGACCGTTTTTCAAATTTTAAAAGGATTTTCTGGTTTGCCAGGAAACTTGAATTTAATTTAGAAAAAAATTTTTTTCAAACCTAAAAATACTTTGCAAAAAAGATGCTGTCCTCCATGACGAAGTGAAATATTTAAACGAGATGAGCATAAAACAGTAACTTCTAAACCCGATCCAGAAAAATGAATGTGATCAAGTGCTTCTAAAAAGAAATTTTTTTAAATTAAAAAAAAAATTTCAAACCAATATTTGGAGAAATATTAAACAACGGATTTTGAAAAAATGGTCGAAAACGTATTTTATAATTAGGCCAAACATGTTTAAGTTGAACAAGTTTTCGAAAAGCTGTTGTAATTAAAGGGATTAAATGTCGAAGATTTCTGCCTTGAAACTTGAAAAAATTTTTTTGTGAAAATTTTAAAAATAAAAAAAACCTGAGAATCAATTTTTAAATTCATTTGAGGATTTTCTACAAAACAAATACTCCAATGAGCAAAAGGTTGTCGAGTTATTGTAAGTCTAGCTTTTCCTTTAAGTTCCAACAACTGAAAATTTTTTTAGAGCTTTCGATTGGTACAAGAAATATTTAAAACGGATGGAAATTTAAAAAAATATGGTTCAGAATTTCAGAAGTACTTACCCAAATGTGATTTTTGGCAGGATGATCTTATCAAATTGTCCCTATTAAAAAGATAAAATACCAATAATTTACACGTTTAGAGCTTCTGAATGATACTATGATGATTATTTGAATCAATTAAGAATCAAAAAAGTTATGATCCAAATATGGCTTAGAGAATGGAACAAAACGATTTTGTGTCATTTATCCCACTATAAAAATTATATAAATCTCAGAATAATTCTTAACATATCCTAACAGATAATTGTGCCTCAAATAACCCTCAAAAAATCCTCCAAACACAAACCTTAACAGATAATTGTGCAAACTTTCCAAAAGCCATCAAAGCATCTACAGACATTTGAAACCCTCCTTTATAATCCAAATTTAACATCAAAACCAATTCATCAAACATATCTGGATCAGACTCATTCAATTTAAATTCGGAGACTTTAATGTCTTTAATCATAGGTGGGTGTGTTCCAATTTCCAAATCACGAATTTGAATGTCCTATAAGAGGGAAAAAATTTAAACAGGAAATTTCTGAATTTTTTAACTGAAATTCCAATTTCTGTTCTGATTTTTAAAATCAGAATTCTGATTTTCTTCAATTTTTAAGAAAGAAATTCGATTTTAATTCTGATTTTCAAAGTCAGAATTTCTGATTTTTCTAAATTTTTAAAATCAAAATTCTGATTTTAATTCTGATATTTCAGAACAGAAAAAAATTTCTCAAGTTAAATAAAAAACCTGAATTATTCTTCCAGCAGTAGAACTTCTTGCTGTTGCATCGTTTAATTCTAATTGAAGTTTTTTGTAAAGCCACCTTTAAAAAATAAATTATTTAAATAATTTTAAGTGTGCAAAATTCTGGTATTTTTTGATTTGTTCTGATTTTTAAAATTCTCGTATTAATTCTGGTTTTATTCTGATTTCTGGTGAAATTCTTGCTTGGTCTGATTATTAATTTCTGGTTTTTTAAATCAGAATTTCTGATTTTAATTTAGAATTCTGATCTATGAAATCAGAATTTGTTTTAAAAATTCTGGTCAGTTCTGATTTAAAAAATTTTTAATAACCTTCTAAACTGCCTTGTATCTTTAATTTCTTGAAATAAAAAGTGAAGAAGTAAACTAAATGAAGAACAAGATTCCCATTCTGAACCATTTCCATCTTTTGATGAGTTCAAAAATGCTTTGATTTCCTAAAATATTTTTATTAAAAAATTAAAATTCTTAAAAATCAAAATTTTATTTCTGATAATTTTTTAAATTCTGATTTTTTGTTGTTTTTCTGTTCTGATTTTATTTTTCCAATAAAATTATGATTTCTTAAAAATCAGAATTTACCTTCCGATTTCACAAATTCTGATTTTCTGTTACAAGTTCTGTTATGATTTTTGTTCTGGTTTTATATTTTTATAAAAATTCTGATTTTTAAAAACCAGAATTTCTGATCTTCTTTTCTGAGGTTTTTGTCATTTTAAATTCTGATTTTTCATAATTTATTTTTAAAAAACCAAAACTTACAGGGGGAATTCTAGCTTTATCTGCTGCTTGTATTGAACACTTATTATTATTAAAATTTGTTGTTGTTGTTCTTCCAAATATATTAAAGAAATAAATTCCGAATAAAAATATAATAAATATAATTCCAAAAAAGAATCCACAAATAAAGAGAAAAATCATCTAAAAAATGTTTTTTTATTAATTTTTTAATAATTTTAAAAAATTAAAATGTTATTTAAAAACTTTTTTTAAAAGTATAAAAAAATAAATTTATTTTTATTCAGAAAATTAAAAAAAATCAGAAAAAAATTTTTCTGATTTTTTCAAATCAGAATTTCTGATTTTCAAAAAAAAATCGATAAAATCAGAACAAAATAAAAATTATTTTTTGAAAAATCAAAATAAAAAATCAGAATTTCTGTTTTTAAAAAATCAGAAAAAATAAAAAATTCTGATTTGAAAAATCAGAAATAAAATCAGAATTCTAATTTTAAAAAATCAGAAAAAATGCCAGAATTTCAGATTTATATAAAAAAAAATTTTTTAGATTCTTTTACGGTGAGAGATTCTCTTTTTTAATTTAAGATGCTTCTAATTGTTGTGTTTGTTGATCAATTAAAGAAGTTGATGTAGTTGATGGAATTGTTTGCCTAACTAATTCTTCTAATCGACGTCTGGAACGTTGCTCTTGTTCAAGGCTTTTAGAAAGTTCGACAACTTGCTAAAAAAAATTAATTTTAAAAATCAAAATTTCTAATTCAAAATTCTGGTCAGGAAAAACAGAACTTATTTTAAAGATCAGAAATTGTCTTTAAAAAATCAGAAGTTCTGATTCTCTAAATCAGAATTATGGTATAAGAAAATCAGAACTTATTTTAGATTTCAGAATGCTGATTTAAAAAATCAGAAGTTCTGATTCTCTAGAACAGCATTCTGGTATTAGAAAATCAAAAAGTCGGATGTTTTTGAAATCAGAATTCTAATTTAGAAAATCAGAATTCTGGTTTAGAAAATCAGAACTTATTTGAAAAAACAGAAATTCTGATTTGAAAGTCAGAACTTCTGATTCCACAGCCAAAAATTCTGATATGAAAAGAAACAGAAATAAATCAGAAAAAAAATTCTGAAAAATCAGAATTTAAAAAAACCTTTGTTAGTGCTGATAAATTGTCTTTTAACGTATAAACAGTATCCACTAAACTTCTTTCTTTCAAAACAATTTGATCTCCTTCCATTTCTTCTACAAAAATTTTTTCATTTTCAGCAACAATTAATTGTGGTCTAGTTAATGTTGTTGTAGCCATTTCATTTTTGTCTGGATATGAAGCTGCTCTTCTAATTGGGCCTGTAAAAAAATCAGAAAATCAGAATTTCTGTTCTGAAAATCAGAAAAAAAGATCAGAAATTCTGATCTTATTAAATCAGAAATTCTGATTTTTATTCTGATTTTAAAAACAGAAATTCTGATTCTTGTTCTGATTTTAAGACCAGAATTTCTGTTTTGAAAAATCATAATAGAATCATAAATTCTGATCCTAAAAATCAGAAATGACTTAGAAATCAGAACGAAAAACATGATTCTGATTTTATAGAATCAGAAAAAACAAGAATTTCTAATCTTAATAAATCAAAACAAAAAACAGAAATCCTAAAAAAATCTCTGAACACAAACCTCCCCCACAAGAATTATAGTTATGTTGAGATTCTGCCGAGTTTCTTTGTTTTTGACGATAATAATGAGGACAGCATTGTTGTTGTTGTTTGTGTAAATGATTATTTATTGAAGAAGTTGCCAAACAATTACTACTTAAACAATAACCTTCCACTATTTTTAATAATAAAGCGTCTTCTTGTTCTTCTGGGGTTACTTTAAAAAATAAAAAAAAAATCAGAATTTCTGTTCTTTTAAAATCAGAAAAAGTCAGAATCCTGATGCTAAATATCAGAATTCATAATTTTCAGAAAATTAAAAAATCAGAATTTCTGATCTTAAAAAATCAGAAAAAGTCAGAATCCTGATGTCAAAAATCAGAATTCATAATTTTCAGAAATAGGGAAGAAATCAGAATTTATCAAGAAAAAAAATCAAAAATTCCAAATAAAAATCAGAAAATTTTTTTTTTATTTTGCGGACTGAAATTTGCGGACAATTTAAATCTTATGAATAATGGAATAAACTATTTTTGACTTATTTATAAAAAAACACAACTAACATCCTTTCCTCAATTTAATTTGTTGTGAAGTATTGTTATTATTTGAAAACCATTCACTTCTTCTAGGAGGTAAAGGTCTTAAAGATAATCCAGAAAAAGGTCTGCTTTCACGATTTCCACAAATTGAAGAGCCTGAAAGTTGAAAATTATTTAATCAATTTCCAAAATTCTTATAAAGTTTTCCTAAATAAATTAACCAAAAAAGATTTTTTTAGAATTTTTAGAAAAATTGATTCTTTTGGTTAAGTTGGTTTGTGTTTGGTTTGGGGAACGATAAGGATGAAGGTTCGAACCCGCTTAGGGTTTCCAATTAATTTTTTTATAAAAGATCCAAAAAATAAGGTTTTCCTTGAAAATTAACAACAAAAAAATTTTGCGGAAAAATCATTGTATGGTTAAGTTGGTTTGCATTGGGCTGGGTGAGAAAAAGAACAAAGGTTCGAATCCGATTAGAGTTTTTAACTTATTTTTAATTGAAAAATTTAATTTAAAGTCTTAAAATAATTTTTAACCATTCTGAAAATTTCAAAAAATTTTAAAAATCAAAAAAATAAAAAAAAATTTTTAAAACCTGAAAAACACCCCCCATTATTAGACAAATTTTCTGATGTAGAAAGGCCAGAAGTATATCTTTTATTATTATTGAAATTTTCATCATTAACATTATTATCAACATCATCAATTCCATCAGGATAAATCATTTCTAATTGATGATTAATTTTTAAATTATTATTTGAATAAATTAAATTTTGTTGTTGTTGATGGTCATTATTATTGTTGTGCTTATTTCCTTCCTCGATTTTTCTTCCATTTTCTTCAAATGAAGAAAAATTATTATTATTTTTTGTTCTAGGTGTTGGATGAGCATTTTTTGTATTAGTATTTGTTGTTGAGCTTATTGTTGTTGTTATTATTTTAATATTAATTGAACGTAAAGAATTTAATAAATTGACAAAATCTTTGCTGCTAAAACATTGTAAAGTAAACAAGTTTTCGCCTGAAAAAATTTTTTCTAAATTATTTATTAAGACGGCATTACTATCTAAACTCTTTTGTAAACATATTTAAATGTGCTTATTATCAATATCTTTCCGAAAAAAAATTTTTATATAATTTAAAAGAGTTGGGCATAACGATATATTAACTAGACCTTTATTTAAAAAAATATTTTCAGACAAAAAAGTATCAAAAAAATTTTGTGAAACGCCTAATCATATAATCTAATCAATCTAACTCGTATAAAAATTGACAAAATATTCCCCCAAATATTTTATAAATCAAAGAGAAAAAAGTATTTCTAGACACGAACTTTTTAAGCACTAATGAAAGACTTGGATGCCGGTTCGAACCTGCTAAGGGTTTTTAAATTTTTAAAGGCTCGATAATTACTTTAAAAATTATTTTAAAAATTAATTAACACAAACCTTTTTTAACTATCTGTAAAGTATTTCTAACATCAGTTAATTGTGTTATATTTAAATCAATAATTAAAAAATTATAACAAAGTGAATATTGACCAGAAGTTGTTTGCATATCCAATAAAAGTATATTATTTGAAAATATTACTATTGTTCTAGAAAATTTAATTTTAAATTTATATTCTATTTACAATAAATGAAGTTCGATATAGAATTAAAAATTAAAAGAAAAATTTTTGTGGTTAAGTTGGTTTGTGTTATGTTTGGTGAGGGAGAGGACTAAGGTTCGAATCCTCTTGTTGGGTTTTTGAATTATTTTTAAATAAGAATTGAGAAAAATAAATTTTACTAACAAGGGAACATTCCGAACTGTGACCAAAAATTTTTTTATAAAAATTATACCATCTGTAGATATACCATCTGTAGAAAATTATACCATCCTCCTTTTTAATTGACATTAGCCGCAAGGCAGAGATGCCTCTTTTCCTTCTCTTTCCTCTCCTCTTTTTCTCTTTCTGTAACCAACATGGGAAAAGAAAAGGAAAGGAAAAATGGAGAAAAGGAGTCTTATTTTTCCCTTGAGGAAGACAAATAATAAGAAAAGTAGGGGCGACTCAACCGCTCCAAAAGTCGGAAAATTTGAAGCCCTATAACTTTTCGAAATGGGGGTCAGGGCCAAAAAAGAAATATATAGGGATAGGCTATCGACCATGCTCTACACGATGGTATAATTTTAATAAAAAAATTTTTAGTCACAGTTCGGAATGTTCCCTTGTAAGCCAATTAATCAACAAAAACCCCAATTAATTTTCAGTAAAGAAATTTTTGTGGTTAAGTTGGTTTGTATTGAGTTGAGTAAGGAAAAACGACGAAGGTTCGAACCCGCTTGGGGTTTTTAAATTATTTTTAAATATAGAATCCTATTTCAATGTTTTAAAATAATTTCTAAAATATTTACAACATCCCAGGAATTTTTTAAAACTTATTTTAAGCCTTAAACCCCTAAAAATTTTTGAAATTTTTAAATAAAAACCTGTCCAACTCCACAGGCGAATTAATTCTTTCCTTTTCTTCCAAATTATTTTTATTATCCTTGCTACCTTCTAAAGACAAACTAACTTTTCCAATATATAACAATTTTCCTAATTTTGATGATTCATAATTATTTTTTCCTCCAAATTTTTCTTCAAAAAATTTTGTTTGTAAAAAATCTAATTGGGCTTCTCGTTGTTTTCTTAACATTTCACAATCTTCCTTTAAAAAAATTGTTTTTTATTGAAATTAAAAAAAAGTAAAATTTACAAGCAAATCAGAATAGAAAAGAGCAGCTCTTTGCAAATTTCCACGGTCTGGATGATTTTCCTAGAAAAAATTTTTAATTGGACTTTCATAATTTCTTTAGAAAATCAGACAGAATAATCTAAGGTAAACTGTTTTTTTTTTTATTATTTTTATTCAGGACTTAATAACAATATCTCACAAAAAATCATCAAAAATTAGAAAGTCAAACCAATTATCATTCTTCTTCTAGGGTTAGGGCAAAATTAGAAAGAATCGAAAATTTGGAAGCCGGATGAACGTCCAAAGCATATATTTTTGAACATTATTTCTTTTGAACCTGACCGTATATGAATCTTTCCTTTCGGATCGATTCGAAGCCCTAAAGTCAACACGAGTTTTATAATAAACACAAACCAAAGTATTCCTTTCAATTTCTTGTAAAGTACTTGAATATTTTTGAACATGTCGAAATACCAGACTTAATCCAAGAATAAGAGATTTTAAATCCATCTTTCCATTTTCGAGTAGTTTAGAGACTTTGGCACTAAAATTGAGAAAATTAAAAAAAAAGAAAATCATTTTTAAAGTAATTCTTTTAACATTATCGACTAAAAAACAGGAAAAAACGGAAAATCGGACAGAAACGGACAGCTACACCCCTCCCCCCATAAAATGGGAAAAAAGAATTGCCGCATAACCCATTCTAGCCCCACTCCTGAAATCGGCCCCCTGGTTGCGCCCTTGACTCTTACTATATAATCAAAAATAAAGTGAGTTTTAATTTTTAAAATTATAAAATTAGAAAATTACAAAAACTTTCCAAAAATTCTAAAATATCAAAAAAACCTTTGTGTATTAATCTTTTCCAATAAATCACAATATTTTTCACAATAACAACGCAAAATTGAACTTAAACCTGGGGCAACATTTAACAATAAATCTCCAATATATTGATTTGTTATTGGCTTTCTAAAATGGGAAAACTTTTAAAATTTATATTTTAATCAAAAAAAAACCTCAATTCTTCTTCAAAACGTTTAAAAAAATTCTTTTTAAAATTTATAAATTCTGTCAATTTTAAAATTGATAAATTGAATAAATCATCTGAAGAGCTTTAAAAATGAAATGGATTATTAGAGAATCTTTTAAAGAGAAAATATAAACTTAAACGATAAAAATTTTTTGGACATTTTTTTTAAAAAAAGTTTAAATGAAAGGCACATGTCAGTAATATTTTGCGGATACTTTATTGTCATACTAACAAATAGTACTTAAAACTTCCTTGAACTTCCCTATCTCGACCCATAACAGTCTTTTTAAATTAAAAATATTAATGAGACATAAAATCAGAAACTAGCTTGGAGTTTACTTGGAGTTTACCTAACAGAGATTCAGTAAACGACAGGCCAATAAACCCAAAACATGCCCAGACATTATGAAACAATATACACTAAATATTATGACTGGACCATGACGACCAAAATTCTCTCAAAAATAATTCCGTATTCCGGTCCGTATCTCGACCCAGAACGATCTGGATCCATTCCTATTGTAAAGCAAATAGCTATTAATTTCCTAACATTAAGGCTATGCAGTAGGCGGCGTGGTGTAATGGCTAACACATCAGTCCGGTCTACTGAAGATGCTGGTTCGTTCCCAGCCGCCAAATAATTTTTTGCACTAGCTAAAGGAGAAAAATAGTAGCTATAGCCCAGCTGCTTTACTCTAATAATGACCCAAAGCCAAGTTCATTAACAACCCAAAATTTCCCCAAAAAAATTAAATTAAAAAAACCTCATATTCAAAAAAAACTCACAATTCTTTCACTTCATTCATTAAAAATTTAATTGTATCCAAAGTCCTTTCAATTATTTCCAATTTTGAATTTTCTTTAATTAAAAATTCTTGCACCAATTGAACACGAAAAGCTTTGCTTATTTCTAATTTTGATAAATCAATTTCTAAACGATTTTTGGTTGTTTTGACTGATTTTTTGGCGTTTTGTTGGTCGTCACAATTTTTGATTAAATTTACAAAATCTGTTGGGAACCAACCAACATGGCCATCTAAAGAGCCTTCCCACCTATGAAAAAAAATTTTAAAAATTGAAAAAAAAATTTTTGACACAGAATTAATAAATAAACACAAAAACAGAAAAAATAATGGTTAAAAAAGTCAAAGGACCCAAAAGGATTCGAACCCGCCACCCTCAACTTAGTCACTACCCAACTTAGCTACAAAAATTATACCACAAAACCAGTTAATTTATAAATTTTGCAAGAGGGCAAAAATCGAAAAAAATTTAAAAAATTAATCTCCTTGAGAATCCATTTAGGAGAATAATTTAAATATATAAATCAATGAAAATAAATTTAATTTATTTTAGTCCAATTTTCTTCCAAATTTTCAAAAAATTCAAAACAGAAAACATACCAACCACCATCCAATTGTTGTGTAACTGTTATAATATCATTTTTGGAGAAAGAAAGCTTGAAAGAAAAAATTATTTTTTTTAATTAAAAATTTATACTTCATCATTATTTCTTCCTTCAAATTTATATTTAGCTACAACTTGTATAGGAGACAATAAATTATTTGTATTATTCATTTTTAATAAAGAAAAGAATTATAGGCACTTCAATTTAGCTTAAAAACACAAAGAAAAGTTGAATAGAAAGACCTAAAAGAAGAAAAATTTTTTTCCGGAAAAGCAGACGCCAAAAATTCTTTAGTTCTGTTGTCCTATTTTCTATTATTTGGTGTTTTCTAAATTTACCATTTTTTCTTGTTGACACTTTGAAATTTCGTTTTAATAATTTAAATGGACGTTTCATTGCCGATTTTTTATCGCCACCAATTTGTTTCACTTTGTAGGCCCATAACTTTCTTAGTTTTCATCGGATTCGAATAATTCTTATACCATTCGAAAGGTAATGGAATTCTGCATCTTTTTGATAATTGGACTGAGCTGATCTGAACATTCCAAAAAAAGTTATGGTCCAAAAACTGCTCCTTAGTATCAACCTCTAATCGTCCTCTACTCCAAATTTTCGTCCAAAAACTTGGTTCAGTGGTTCCACCTGTAATCTTTTTTTACTTACTAATTTTTACGTCATTATTTTTACTCAATTTAATTTTATGAGAACTTTTTTGGGAGGTCTTATTACGTCCTTTTTTTTCTTATACGCGCTCTATCTTTTCCGGTCCTTTTTCTTTATTTTACGATATTTTGTATGCTATCCCGTGGGATTAATTCCAAAAACAACTGGGATTTTGGAAAATAAGGGAAAATCGCTTTACAGGAGATCCCTTCTCTCATTTTTGGGTCTATATAAAAGTGGCTAAGAACGCTTAGATTCTCCTAAGCTCTAGAGGTGGGTCGGAATTCCGCGATTCCCGACGTCTTTTCCTTCCGATTTCCGAAAAAATTTAAATTTTCGATTTCCAAGTTTCGACTTTTGAGCCAGTTCCGATTTGCGGCTCTTCCTATTTCCGATACCTCTGACTATTCCGACTCACCCTAAATTTCCTCTGGTCAGCTCTTATAATTTTTATATTGGTCTCTTTAACGCTTTACACCTCTTTTTTTAATTTAAATTTAATTTAATTTTTTTCATTTTCAGAGAGATTAATCATACGTAAAATTTTTTTTTCTAACGCTCTAAAAAACCTAATATAATCTACAAATATATAGGCATGAGTGATGCCAAATTACAGTTTGTTTTTCTTTAAATTTTTTAAAAATCTCTTCAATTTTAAAGGAAAAAAGATGAAGTAAAAAGTGAAGAAAATATTCCTGTTGCGGTGACACCTAATGGGTCTACTTCTCAACAGATGGATGATGGGTATACCATACAGGTTTCTCTAGTTTTTTAAAATTATTTTCGAGGAGTTTTGGACCTCCTTGTAAAGTTTGGGCTTTTAATCCTCGATAAAAAAAACTTAGAAAATAGCTGGGTACAACTCCGGATAAAACAAAAATTCAGTTTTTTGGACAAAGCCCAAGTCATATTTAGAGAAATCGAGCTGAGTGTCTCTCTCACTTTTTCTAGCTATTTCAAGAGATTATTATTTAAATTGGGGGATTTAGAAGAATTGAGCTCGGGAATCCATACAAACAAAACTCCCACTCTAATGCTGGTTATGTCTCCGACACCGAGAAGCTAAAATTTTGAAAAAGATGTCAAGAATTTTAAATACGTAGTGTTGGAGCAATGAGTCAAAAAATGTTGTAGCTGGGCCACAAAACGCCCAATAATAAGTACTTCTCCACCTTTTTATATGTCAAAAAGCCTTCTATTATCTCATCCCCTTCTAACATAAAAAAAAATTTTTTTTCAAGTCAAATACCAATGAAGTCATTGAGTCTTTTGATAATATGAACCTTAAAGAACTTTTGCTTAGAGGAATATATTCTTTTGGATTTGAAAAGCCTTCAGCTATCCAACAACGTGCAATTGTTCCTTGTTGTACTGGAAGAGATGTTATTGCCCAAGCACAATCGGGAACTGGAAAAACTGCAACATTTTCTGTTTCAGTTCTTCAACGTGTTGATGATAAAGATCCAAATGTTCAGGCTTTGGTTATGGCACCAACTCGTGAATTGGCACAACAGGTTTTTTTGAAAGGGATTAAATAGCTCAGGAACCGGGTATCTGTATAATATCATGTTTTCCTGGGGGTTAGGTTGGAATTTCCGACCGGGTCTTGTCTCAAAAACCCGACATGCCCGGGTATAATTTTTCGAAAAGGGTCGGAAACTACGACATAATGTGAGTGAAAGCCTGGAAAATAAATTTAATTTTTTTAAAAAGATTATGCTTGTTATGCGCGCTTTGGGTGAATATTTGGAGGTTAAATTTCATCTTTGTATTGGTGGAACTTCTGTTCAGGTTCTTTTATAGTAGTACTATTTTTCCATATCTTAGAAAAAAATTTTAACATGAAATTAAAGTTTTAAAGAGTTGTACTTGTCTTTTTTTGGGGGGGGGGGGAGGTATAAAGTCTACTCCGAACTTGGATTTCAACAAAACTATTCCAGGAAAAATTCGGGAAGCTCAGAAAATTAATGGGTCCAGGCTTTAGACTTTCCTCTGCTTTTCTCCTAATATTTAAACCCTTCTACTTTAATAGGACGATCAACGCAAACTTCAAGGAGGAATTCAGGTTATTGTTGGAACACCTGGACGTGTTAATGACATGATCCAACGAGAATCGCTAAGTAAACTTTAAAAAATAACTTTTTTTTTAATTAAAATTTTCTAACTTTTAGAGACCAAAAACATAAAAATGTTTGTTTTGGACGAGGCTGATGAAATGCTTTCTCGTGGTTTTAAGGATCAAATCTATGATGTTTTTAAGAGTTTGCCTAATGATGTTCAGGTTTTCTTTTTTCCTTTCTTTTTTTAAGACGGGGTGGAGGTCTGGAAGGACGTTTTTTGGAAAAAATGCTTTTTTGGTGTAGTGGGAAAATTTTTGTTTTGTGTATATAGAGGTCGTGGGTTCGAACCCTTTTAGGGGAAAAACAAATAAATGGCTTAGAGAACATTTAATTAGGCATTCGCATGCTCTTGCCACCTCTAAAAAATTTTTAGAATTTTTTATAAAAAATTTTTAGGTTGTTCTTCTGTCTGCTACCATGCCAAACGATGTTTTGGAAGTCACCAAAAAGTTTATGCGTAATCCAATCCAAATTTTGATTAAAAAGGAAGAACTTACACTTGAGGGAATTCGTCAGTTCTTTATTTATATTGAAAGAGAGGTTTTTTTTGATAAAAAATTTTCGAAAAATTTTAAAAAAATTTTAAAGGAATGGAAGTTTGAGACTCTTTGTGACTTGTACGATACGGTGAATATAACCCAAGCTGTGATTTTTGCTAATACACGTAGAAAGGTTGAAGAGTTGGCTCGTAATATGACAAATAAGAAGTTTACAGTTTCTTTTATGGTTTGCAAAAAAAAACTTTTTTTTAATATTTTATACCCTTTTTTCCTCCAAAACATTTAAGAAGACCATCACCTAAGGAAAAGTGTGGGTTGGGATTTTCGAAAAGAAAAGTTCTGGGTACCCTGCGCTGTTACTGGTGTTTGAGTTGTCAAAAAATGGGAGGACCATATTCACCTTATTTTTTAATTTTTGGTGTAGTGGGATAATGTTTTGTTTTGGGTGTATAGAGGTCGTTGGTTCGAACCCTCTCGTGGAAAAAAAATTTCTATTTTAGTAAAATAACCTAAAAGAACCAGTTTTCTCTCATCCCATTTTTTAAATTCTTCAAATAATATTTTTTCAGCATGGAGAGATGGAGCAATCTGAACGAGATTTGATTATGCGCGAGTTCCGATCTGGCTCTTCCCGTGTATTAATTACTACCGATTTGTTGGCACGAGGAATTGATGTTCAACAAGTTTCTGTTGTGATAAACTATGATCTGCCTGGAAATCGAGAGAACTATATCCATCGGTATTTTTCATTTTTTGGTGTAGTGGGAAAATGCTTTGTTTTGAGTATATAGGGGTCATGGGTTCGAACCCTTTTTGGGGAAATTCATTTTTATTTTTGAAAAAATCACTTAAAATATAAGAAACAATTTTCCTGACTAACAGAAAAATTATTTCAAGTCCTCTAAAAATATTTTTTTTCTCAGTATTGGTCGTTCTGGACGTTTTGGACGTAAAGGAGTTGCAATCAATTTCGTCACCAAAAATGTGAGTCTTTTTGAAAGAAAAATTTTTTCTTGATTTTTTTAAATAAAATTTCCCCCCCCCCCTCTTAATAGGATCAACAAATGCTTAAAGAACTTGAGTCATACTATTCAACCCAAATTGAAGAAATGCCGGCTGAAATTGGGGAGTTGATCTAAAAAATAATTAAAGGAGAAGAATATAAAAAAAGAAAAAGAGAAGAGAATAAAAAATATAAAAATAAATATATTTTTTGGTATAAGAGAAAAAAGGAAGTGTTTTTTTCTATGTTTGGTGACTGTTCTATTGTTTTGTTGATTCAAATTTGGAATAAAAAAATTATAAAAAAAATTTTTCAATTTTTCCAAAAATTAAATTCCTTTTTTTTTGCGGACTGTCCGCATTATTAGAAACGTTTCTTTCTTGCCCAAAAAAGTTTAGTAGCTTCATCGTCAAGATTAGAGTTGGGCGGGATCGGGATCCCGGTCGGGATCGGGCGGGATTATCCCGGTTTTTTTGAATCCCGATCCCGATTTTTCTGATCCCGAACCCGAAAGACAAATCCCGATCCCGGTTTTGGCCGATCCCGATCCCGAGCCGGGATCGGGATTAGCAATCGGATCCCGATGAAATCGGGATTTTATAAATTAATGAAAATATAAATTAATGAGCTGAAAAGAAAGCAATTATTTCAGCACAGCAGATGAAAATTATGGAATTATATTGAGGTATATGCAATGTAAATAAAAATTTAAATTTTGAAAATTTTTTTTAACTAAATCCCGATCCCGATTTTTCAATCCCGATCCCGAGTCGGGATCGGGACCGGGATCGGGATCATTATTCCGAATCCCGATCCCGATTTCGTCCAATCCCGATCCCGCAGTCGGGATCGGGACCGGGATCGGGATCATCATTCCAAAATCCCGATCCCGATTTTACGTCGGGATCCCGATCCCGCCCAACTCTAGTCAAGATATCCTATTACTCGCAATTTTTTGGTGTAGTGGGAAAACATTTTGTTTTGGGTTCATAGGGGTCGTGGGTTCGAACCCTTCTAGGGGAAAATAATTTTTATTTAAAGAATTATTTTTTAAATAATTTTTATAATACCGGAAATATCCCTAAGCTACTAATTTATCAGTATAGATGTTGAAATTATTTTTTCGAGAGGTTACTCCAATTTTTTAGACTAGAGTCATTAAAGTTAGTCTAGTCGATTCATTTTTGTCAAAAAGCTTTTACAAAATTTTCAATTCAAAAATTACCATTTAACAGCCTAAAGGCACACTTGCAAAAAATTATTTTAATTATTAGGTAAAGCGGCGAACATGGGAAAAATAAAAAAACAAGACCAAAGTCGCAAAAATTTTATAAATTGGCCTAATTTGCCGGAAATGGGGATTTAAATAAACTGCTAGAGGCTTTATTCTACGTAAAGATGGTCTGGTTTTTGGCCCATATTTGAATTTAATTCATTAATAAAACAATTAAAATCAACACATTAAATATAAATACTACCCATAAGATTAATTTCAAGATAAACACATCCTCAATTTTTCCGGAAAGAAAATAATTTCAGAATGTGTGGTTTTAAAAAGAAAACACAGCAAGTTTATTTAACAGAATTAACAAAACACAAAATGAAATTAAACTCTTTCCGGAAAATACACATTCTGAAAATAAATTCTGAAATTATATTCTTTCCGGAAAAACACAAAATTCTGAAAATAAATTCTGAAATTATATTTCTTCAGGAAAAACACAAAATTCTGAAAATAAATTCTGAAATTATATTTCTTCAGGAAAAACACAAAATTCTGAAAATAAATTCTGAAATTATATTTCTTCAGGAAAAACACAAAATTCTGAAAATAAATTCTGAAATTATATTTCTTCAGGAAAAACACAAAATTCTGAAAATAAATTCTGAAATTATATTTCTTCAGGAAAAACACAAAATTCTGAAAATAAATTCTGAAATTATATTTCTTCAGGAAAAACACAAAATTCTGAAAATAAATTCTGAAATTATATTTCTTCAGGAAAAACACAAAATTCTGAAATTATATTTCTTCAGGAAAAACACAAAATTCTGAAAATAAATTCTGAAATTATATTTCTTCAGGAAAAACACAAAATTCTGAAAATAAATTCTGAAATTATATTTCTTCAGGAAAAACACAAAATTCTGAAAATAAATTCTGAAATTATATTTCTTCAGGAAAAACACAAAATTCTGAAAATAAATTCTGAAATCATATTTCTTCAGGAAAAACACAAAATTCTGAAAATAAATTCTGAAAATAAATTCTTTCCGGAAAACACAAAATTTTGAAATTATAATCTTTCCGGAAAAATACACATTAAATAAATTCTGAAAATAAATTCTTTCCGGAAAAAGTTTATTTTTCTGAAAATAAATTCTGAAATTATATTCTTCCGGAAAAACACACATTCGTTCCATAACATTTTCAAGTTTATTTTTCAGAAAACACAATTATTTTTATATTTAAAGTATTCTTTCCGGAAAAACACACACAAATTCTACTTATTTAGTATTTTCTTAAAATATATTTACACGTAAACTATACTAATTTTGTATTTGCTTCATTAGCTTTTTTTAAAAAATTATTTTTTTATTTTATTTTTGTCTGCAAGAATAAAAAATATTCTAGGAATAAAGTACTTTTTCTCTAGGCATTTTCTCGGCTTAAAAATTTTTTTCAACCAAAAAAAAATTTTTTTTGTTTTTATCGGATGAATGATTTTTTTCTTGACGCTAAAGCACGTTTTGTTCATTTCCGGTAAATTTGCTCCTATTTCTTTATTTTTTTATTAATGCCTGCAACGCCTTATTTTATAAATATACCCTTTACCTAAATTATAAAAATATAATTTTTTTTGTTTAAAAAATTTATTTTTTTTCTTTCCTTCTTTTAACCACGCAACACAAGAAAAGAAAATTAAATCGCCATTTTAGGCCAATTAATAATGCTAGGATGCTCACAAAAAATTTTTTTTCGGTGTTTAAAATTGTTCCTTATTTTGAGGCCTTATTTAGCTTTTATTTTTTTTAATTTTTTGTGGGTTGAAAATGATGTGAGAAAAATAATAATATCTATAAAAAGGTTAAGGAATATTTTAAGTTTTTTTCAGTTACAAAATTAACACATAAGAAAAACATTCCGGAATTGACAAAAAACAAAAAAATGTATTTTCTTCTGACTATAGAAACATCACCATTTAAAACAAAAATACAGAACAACTTTTTCCGGAATAACACACGTTCTTAATAAATAAATTAAACAAATAAAAACACAATAAAACACAACCAGAATTAATTTAAAAAACACAAAATAAACTTTCCGGAAAGGATATAACAGAATTATACTTTTTCCGGAAAACACACACACATTTTTCTGATTTAATAAAACACAAATCAATTTCTTAAATTATACTCTTTCCGGAAAAACACAATCACAATTAAATTAAAACACAGTAAAATACAACCGGAATTAATTTAAAACACACACTTTCATATACTTTCCGGAAAGAATAAAAATATTTCAGAGTTATATTCTTTCCGGAAAACACACACATTTTCAAGTTTATTTTTATATTTAATAAAATACATTCCTGAAAATTATATTCTTTCCGGAAAATTATATATAATTTATTCTCCGGTTATAAAAACAAAAACACATTAACCCCTGTAAATGAGAAGCAAATATACAACAACCATTAAATATTAACACCAGTTTTTTTAAAAAAATAATAAAACTAATTCAACTAATATATTATTTAGGCAACTTCTCTAGGGAATTAATTTTTCCTTATTTTGTGGTATAAAAAGGGCATTTGCATCAATTATTATATAATACTTTTGTTTTTGTTTTTTTTTGACAGTGCCGTTCAGTTCTTATTCTCAGAAAAGTGCAAAAAACAGTCAAAATGTTTTTAACAAAAAAAATTTTCCCTAACTCATTACCAAAAAATTTTTTTTCATTATTATTAATTTGTCATTTAATTATATTTATATAAAACACAACCAGTACAAATACATTCATTCCGGAAAATAAATTATAATAAACACACAATTAAAAGTTCTGGAATAACACATACATATTTTTTAAAACACAATCAGAATTAAAACAGAATCAGAATTTAAAACACACCAGAATAAACATATTCTTTCCGGAAAATACTAAAAACACAACCAGAATTATAATCAGTATAATTTCCTGAATTTATAAAAATACATTCATTCCGGAAAAATACACATAAAAACACACACACAATCAGAAATTATAATGGTATTATAGTTTCCGGAATTTTGAAAAATACATTCTTTCCGGAAAATATTAAAAACACAACCAGAAATTATAATCAGTATAATTTCCGGAATTTATAAAACACATCCAATCCGGAAAAATACACATAAAAATACACACAATCAGAATTTATTTCGGAATTACTTTTAAAAATACATTCTTTCCGGAAAATTAATAAAAACAAAAACACAATTGTTGACATTTTCTTGCGGTTAAAAATACAAAAATATTGTTCCCAATTTCCGGTCATTCTTTTCTCCCACTTCTCTTATTTTTGACATTTTCATATTTTAAAATAATCCGTCAACATTTTTTAATTTTAACACACTCCCCCAACCTTTTCTTTAATTTATCCACCGACCACCCCCATTATTTAAATATTTTTTGGCAAATTTCCCTGGGGTAATACTTCTCACTTTTGTCAAATATTATCTCCTAATAGTCTGCGCAATTTTTTAATCATAATTTTCTTTATTTAAATTAAAGGACATTTAAATTCATAATTTATGACACTTTCTTGACACCCACACATACACATATTTGACAAGCACTTTTTCCTTTCTTATAACAAAATTCCGGAAAAACACATATCAAAAATACATATCTGACAGCTAAAAATATATAAATGTGTTTTCCATTCCGGAAAAATAATTTCCGGAAAATATGTATTAATTCCGGAATAACTATAAAATAAATTCTGATTTTAATTATAACTTTCCGGAAAAAGTTTATTCTTGTTATAAACTTTCCGGAAGAACTATAAAATAAATTCTGATTTTAATATAACTTTCCGGAAAAAGTTTATTTCTGTTATAAATTCCGGAAGAACTATAAATAAATTCTGA